AAAAAAAAAATAACAGTTTTTAGAGAACAGAGACAAAGCTAAAGAGAACTAATAAATAATTTACAGTATTCCAGAGGGGAAAAGAATTATCTTACATCCAGTCCTTCACTTCAGGAATTTTAAAAACTTCATAGGATAAACAATGTTCAAAAATTCAATTTTTAGCCTCTAATTTATTCCAGCAATATTTTCTTATTTTACAAAATTGCTATTGTCTTCCCAGGAGAAACCTATATTTACTGGGAAAAGTTAGCACATCTCAAATAGAGAGAATCAGAGTGGATAAAATGTCCTGAAATAGATAACACTATTTATAACGAGTTTTATATATCAGATGACCCTATAACAGTAACAGGTAGTAAGAATGTGCTAGTTACAGATTTCTGCTAATTTTTAGTGAGATGAAGATTTGTTTGTTGGCCTGTCTCCCAAATGGGGAAAGCAATAGCTTTCTACAATTATCCTCTTAAATTTAAAAAGAATATTGTGAAACTGACCTCTGATTATTAGAAGGGAAAATTTATTTTTAATTTTGGATAAAGATTCCAATGACCTTTCCTATCTCCAAATATGTACCTCCCTCTATTCCTGAAGACTGAGAGACAGTGAGAGAAAGGCCTAGAACAGGAGTAGACCAGAACTGAGAAACAGAGGGTAGCAAGGATGGAAAGAAGAAAATGATGAAGTAGTGAGAAAACAAGGTTACAGAATGAAGTTGTTTAAGCAAGATGCAAATTATGAGGTAATTATTCTGCACAGCAAGACCCAGGTTTTCCCTGATGTAGTAGATTGTGTTTGGGGCTAGACCTTTTCAGGTAGTATGGGCCACAAGACCAGGCCCCACTCATATCGGTAGGACACAGAGCACACCACAACCAAATGTCTTTAAACAGAAAAAATCAAGTTTAAAGGAATTTTTAGAGCAGATGTGAAAGGAATAAAGGAGATTCAAAACAGTGTGTTGAGGGGGGATGGGTTAGCCCGGTGATGGGTATTAAAGAGGGCACGTATTGAATGGAGCACTGGGTGTTATACACAAACAATGAATCATGGAACACTACATCAAAAACTAATGGTGTAATGTATGGTGATTAACATAACATAATAAATTAAAAAAAAAAAAAAAACCAGTGTGTTGAGAAAGGGAAAGGCTGTTTTATTTTTAAGAAGGGATAGAGTGATGGAGAAAGGTCAGTGGGTAGTGGGGCCTGAGGAATAAAACAGGGGTTCCCTTGTGTCAGAGATCTGAGCTGTTTAAGGACCCATCCCACACGATGACAGTCTTCCAATCTCTAATCCTTCCTCCTCCCTTTTCCTCTCCTATCTTCTTGCCTCTTTCCCCTCCTTCTGGACGAATGCTCAGATCTTTGTCCATGTAGTAGGGGGTGACTCTGGATTTATGGCATCTGAGGACATAGAATGGGAGTTTATTGGGGCACCTAAAATAATTAGGGAGTAAGTACGATTTTACACACACACACACACACACACGGAAGAAAAAGATAATGAGTTAACCAAAGAAAGAGTAGAAGAGATCCCTTGAGGTCAGTTATATCCTGTTGCCTCATTCAGTTATCTCTCAGAAACCTCTCGAATATGAAGAAAGGACTGAGAGAAGGAGGTCCACTCAGAGAAGCTCCAGAGGTGAGAAAACATATGCAAAAGATATTTCTACCCTTCTTGAAAATACAAGGCTTGCGCTCCCATTTTATCAAGCAAACTGTGAGCTTATTGTGCTGAGACCCTGCAAAAATTTGATTTAAAAATCAGTATTCTGTATTATCTCTCCAATATTTCTTTGAGAAAAAAAAAGATGTAGTCTTTGGGTCTTTCTTTCTTACAAAATATTAACTTCATTCTATGCATGCACATTATTACACATGCGCCTTATTGTACATGTTCTGTGAGACAAAACTCTGTAAGACATTAAATTAATAGAAAATTCAAGAGCGAGATGAGAATAGATGAAAGTTTATAAAGTACATGGCAGCCTACGAAGTTAAGTGCTTTTAGTTCATTGCAGTTTCCTATAAATTCTTGATAGGTATAGTCTCTCCAATGACTGCAGGTTTCTAGAATATTAATTCATTGCAAATGTTGATAGTTTTTTTTAAGAGAGAGAGAGAGAGGTGGGGGAGGGGCAGAGGAAGAGGGAGAGAGAGAATCCCAAACAGGCTCCATGCCCAGCATAGAGACTGATGTGGGGCTCTACCCCCATGAAGGTGAGATCATGACCTCAGCTGAACTCAAGAGTCAGACGCTCGAGCTAGTGAGCCACCCAGGTGCCCCGCAAATGTTGATAGTTTAAACTTTTGCCTCAAGAATGTGAAACAGAATTTTAGAAATGTTTTTTTCCTATAATTTTTTTTAATCTTGAAAGAAAAGATCATTTATTTGAGAGAGAGAATGAGAGAGAGAGAGAGAGCACATGAGAGGGGGGAGGGTCAGAGGGAGAAGCAGACTCCCTGCTGAGCAGGGAGCCCGATGTAAGAAAAGATCATGAGTTTGCTTGTTGGCAAAAGGTAAATAAATAAGGGTTGTGCTCATCAATTGTTTTTCCTGTACCAACTATGTTCTCTTTTGTTATAGCAGCTTTATAATACATTTTAGTATCCGTAGGACAAATCTAGTCTTACTAATTTATATTTCCAGTAGTTTTTATTTTTATTTACATTTGTTTTTATTTACATTTTAAATAAAAAAAATCTAAGTCATTTATTTAATTCTCCCCCACCTCAAATCCATCAAATTCTCATTAAAATTGATTAAATATGTATTAACTTGAAAAGGGTTGACATTTTCATGATATTAAACCTTTCTGTAGAGGAACATGTGTACGTTTTTCTTTATTTAGGTTGTTTAGTTTAAAACTATATTTTTATAAAATGTTATAACTCCTCTATATAGGTCATGTCCTAACCCAATTTCTTTGTACAAGACAAATACCAGTTAAATGAATAGGAAGGACAGATGTAAAATGAAAAGGAAGGCTTTAAAAAAAAAGGCAGTTTAAGGCATTGGTAGTGGATATAGATGAGAAAGCAAAGAAGCAGCTGAGAGGCTGTCCACAGATTCTGGGAATATGAGCACTAGGGGCTTTTGGGGCATTACTGGATGCTGGCAAACCACAGTTCATTCTCTCTTCCAGCCTCCAGCTTCTTCCAAGCCCTCAGTGATTTTGGAACTTCCAGCTCTGGTTCTTCTGATTTTTCTAGGGGTAGACATGACTTTTGGCATCTGAAGGAATTAAGATAAAATTTTATTATCAAAGAGGCATGTTCCTGTCATTGGGAAAGCCAGTCTTTGGACTCCTACTCAGCTGCATAAGAATGGGCCTTGGGCCTGGAGCACTCCTCACCAGGAAATACAGAGCCCACATGGCCTGTGCTGGTCTTACCACCTTGTGTGGGAATATCCTTCCTTGTTTCAGGCGTAGTGAATGCCCCTTTGTCTCTGCTTAAAGCATGTGCAATATATGGCATCTGGCCAACCACACTGTTTTATCTGTCCTTCCAATGGGAGAGGGCACAGAGTCCCTTCCATTGAGGCACAGAGTTTAGGTAAGCTAGGGGGACTGACACCCACTACCGAAGCTAAGTTTGCTGTCTCTTCTCTATGTATGGAAATGCTGTTCCATCTAGTGCTTCACTGCATTTTTTTTTTTCCTGAAGACTCTGATACCATGCTGCAATGGGCAGAAGTGCTTAGAATCCTCCTCTGGGGTTGATAACCAGTGCATGGTACTTGGGCTGACATCTATTGAAACATTAGAAGAAATACCTTTTGGAAGTAGCTTCTGCTCAGTGACTTCAGTTTGGCATTCATAACCATAGACTGACTCTCTTTGAAGGAGGTAGTGATAGCTATGGACAGAGAAAAATAGCAAGGAGGGGCCCCTGAGTGGCTCAGTTGGTTAAGCATCTGACTCTTGATCTCAGCTCAGGTCATGATCTCAGGGTCGTGAGATTGAGCCCCACATCAGGCTCCACACTCTGTGGGGAGTCTGCTTGTCCCTCTCCCTCTGTTGTTCCCCACTGCTCGCACTCTCTAAAATAAATTAATAAAATCTTAAAAAAAAAAAAAAGGCACCAAGGAATGCTATGTTGCTTGGAACAATGTTATTTTTACTGATGGAAGATCAGGAGTTGATAACCCACAAACCAACCCCTCCCACCCTTTCTTCTGATACATACACATATAAAATATTCCAAATCCCATTCTATCATTTCAAAAAAAGTTTAATGCCACCATACCAAGTCAACCATATAAGATTCTCCTCTAAAAAAATAATACTTTGTGTTATTTTCAGAAATATTTCTTTCATATATTGAAAAGAGGTTATTGGTTTCTCTATTTACTGAAACATGAAATGAAGCCTGCTTTATAATTACAGTGACTTTTTCAAGGAATAAAGGACATAGTCCAATTGATAATAAATATAAGGGAGAGAGACTGACTACAGAAGACAACAGTAGGCAGATAATAAAATGTTAAATATATTTTGACCTAGAAATACCCTTTATTTATAAACTCTACATAATGATTCTGAATTTTTAGATGGTGTTCTTTGGACCTGTCAACCCAACCTCAAGGCTTTTACCTCAGTATTTTCTAAAGGGGAAGAAAGATTATACAAATACCTGAATAATTCTCTAACAGAACACACTGGAAAAAGAGCTGTGTCAGAATGAAAAATGTAGAGGATAAATAAAGCAGATGAACGTGTCCACTGAGTGAGATAACAGAAGACTTAATAAAATGAGAAGTGCCAGAGTAGGACCCGTCTCCAAGCTTGTAAATTTGAACAGGATATCAAATGATCTACAGCTATCCGAAGGATCTCTTTCAGCCTGTTGAAGCTAGGCAATAAAAGAAGAGAGTGACTTCACACACAGTCTCCCGAGTTAGAGTATCAGAAGACACACATCAGGTATGAAAGGCAAGAAATGCTGGCAGAAACAAAGCCACCTGGGAAATCTCTCGAGGAACAGAAATCTTACCGGCAAGTTTCACCCTGGCCTTCATGGCTCAGGTAATGGATTCGAAAGTGACAAGTTGTACGTTCTAAAGGGACACCATCTTGTCTGTAAGGTCAAGGGGAAAAGAAGATGAGAAAATTATATATTTAGAGTGGAATGGAACAGTTCCAGATGGAATGTCCTGCATTAATAAATACTTTCTTAGGTAATCGATGTAAGGTCTTCAAGGTTGATGAATGAAAAGTAGTTTTTGAGAAGCTCCAGCATAACTGAATGTTTGCTGGGTCCATTCCATATTTAAAAAGCTGCGCTAGCAAAGGAAAAGAAGGCTATGCAAGAAATTTCCTGTATGATGTTACAACCTCCCAAACCTCCATATTAAGTTCATATTGTCAAGCAACCAGAGGGAGTAGAGAGAAATTTTTTAATAACTTTCCTCTGTTCATGACTCCATTGAAGTGCCCTTGGCTCTGCTATTTGATCACTTTTCTCAATATTTTGGGCAACAAAGGGCTAAGAATTGATCACAGACACAACTTTGGCTATCAGCCATTGAACCCTGGCAGGTTGCAGAGGGATAACGCGAGTGAGCTTCTTCAGTTAGTGGAGGGACTTAGGTCTCTGTTATGCCATGATGGAGTCCTCCCAAGAATGTTGTTATTGGTTGGCAAGATGGTATTGAGACACATTCAAGTGGAGGGAGGTTGTATACAAATTATAATATAGGTAAGAAGTGACTATAGGTAAGGTTTCAAGAATAAATGAAAATGTTTAAATGCGATGAAGTAAAACTGATGAACTAATTAAAATAATACAAACAACATGGACTCTGCCTAGGACATCACCATATGTTCTGAACTTCATTTATCACACTGCTAGTTTTTTTTTTTTTTAAAGATT